GTCCTGGAGGATCCAAGGTTGGCAGGGGTCGAAAGGCGGGCGGGCGAGGTTGCGGGCGGCGTCTCAGGCGGGGGCCGAGCGGGGCGCCGAGGTGGCGGGCTTCCCGCATCCACGGCCGGCCGCAGGCGACGCGGCGCCCCCCGCCGCGGGCTGCCTTCGCCCGCCGCTCGCCCCAAGGGCGCGGAGGCGGGCGGCGCGGCAGGGGAAGCTGGGGCGGCGGCCGTGTCGGAGGGCTGGGGGGCCGTGTCGGGTATGTGCGTGCGTGTGTGTGTGCGTGTGTGTGTCGTGTGTGTGCCACCCGGTGTCACGGCTTGCCTGTGCGTCGACGCTGCCCGTGTTGTCTACATCCAGTGCAGTGAACATGGCCCTCAGGTCCCCCTCGCTGATGTCAGGGGCCACCTGGTGGGTTTTCAAATCAGATGGGGGGGTTGTGTTGTGTTTGCCTGGGATCGTGCGGTTTTGGGGGGGGTTGTTCGGTGGGATGGCGTGGCGTGGTGAGGGGTCCACGCCTCATAAGCCCCACCCCCCCTGCATCCACACCGACGCCCACGCCTCTCCACCCCGCTCCCCATCGCAAACCTCACCCCCCTGCTTTCCCTCTCAAAAGCCCTGAACCCTGAATTGTAAACCCTAAACCGTCCCCCTGTGGCCCCCTCCACTCCTGGCTGTGTGGCCACCCTCAATGCTGACCTGGCGTGCTGCAGTGCTGAGCTCTCTAAGGTCCAGGGTGCCATTAAAGTCCTGCAGGGGGGGGGTGTGGGAGGCATGGGTTTGGGGGGCATGGGGTGGCGGAGTGTGGGAGGGATTCGAGGGTGAAGAGGAGAGGGATACACGGGATGCGGCGTGCGGGGTGGAGGGTGGGGCCGGAAGGATAGGAGTGATTGGAGGGGTAGGGGGGCGGCAGGGGGGATGAAGCCCAAGCCCATCAGCAGCTGGCTTCGGCATGCAAAGCAGAGGCTCAACCCAGGTAGGAGGTCGGTGGGAGGCGCGGGGCGAGGCGG